GTGCCATGAAGGCGCCACTCTAGGGGGCTCCACAGCCGACCCGCCGGTGTTGCTAGGGTAAAAATCTTCCGACGATCGTGCACGCGGCGCGCACACACCTAATGGAATGGATATGAGCAACACATCTCGAAGAACAACAGTTACAACGGTGAGTAACCGTCTTTTATCTTGCTTTCCCTCTGCCCCCCCTATCACTTTACCATGCAGCAACAGTGAAATAAGCAGATATGCTTGCCATCTGGCTTTGAACTCTGGCGCATCAAGATGCGGGTGCAAATGTACATATCAAAGAGAATATTTTCTCCTTCAGAAGGTGGCACCATTTAAAGTATCGGAGGGTTTTCTCTGATTTGAAGGTAGGGGAATGGGTACATGTGGTCTAAATTGGCAATGAGGAGGAGCCAGCACCTTATGAGCAACCAGCTCTCCCAGGAACACTAGCAAGTGATCTGCAGACCACAGCTTGAGTGCTTAGGCGATAGACAATTTGCCTTTAAGTAACTGATGTACAACATAAATTTCCTTCATGGCCATTCATTTTCAACCACAGGTTAGATTCACAAGGGGGACTGAAGCACCTCATTGCTACTTTAGGTGCTTAAGTCTATCATTTAAACACCACTGACACTCTCAACCCCCCAAATTCAAGTCCCTGCCCTATATCAGGCAGAGTGGGAATTTGATCCCTGGTCTCCACATCCTGGGTGAGTGCCCTAAACCACTGGGCTAAAGGTGGTTGTTGGTGGGGAGGGAGACTCCTGCTCCTCAGCTTTTCTTGACAAATGGCTGACCTGACCTAAGCACCTAACTCCAGGAGAGGGTTCCTGGCTCTGAATCCCAAGTGGAGGGAGGTGCCTCCTTCCAGCCCATACTTCCGTACCTACGCCCAGCTCCACAGGCTCCTAACTTACACTGATTTCAAAAGAAGTTAGGTGCCTAATCACCTCTGTGAATCTGGCCTCTAACTCCTTTTGAGTGGCCCCACCATACCACATTTCCTACTGGCTAGCTTAGGTATCTCCCTGCTCAATGTGTTGGCTTTTGTGGATCCCATTCTTAGGTGCCTAACTCCCCAGGCATTGTGCTGGTCACCTAACTCAGGATTGCAAATTCCATTAGGCGCCAAGGTACCTAAATGTTAGACACTGAAGTGCCCAAGTCCTCCTGGTGAATCCCACCCCTTCAAACATCTCACTACTTGACTTTATCATTACTAATGATCACTCTTATTAAGTATCAGAGGGGTAGCCGTGTTAGTCTGAATCTGTAAAAAGCAACAGGACCCTCTGTCACTCTTATTAAGTAACTTCTGGACTACGTACTGGCACAGAAATTTCAGTCACTGACATTTCCGCCTCAGGAGGCTATCTTAAAATCTGCTATTAAGAAGGAGACTGACTGTACTTGTAAATTCCAGAACATTTGTCTCATCCTGATGTTGGAGCACTAACTGTTGGCTCCTCCTCTGATCATACATTCTGGATGGAGGGTTGAAAACTGACTGATCACAGTCAAGGTGAAAGTCTGCTGGGAGAGCCTTTAGCTAGTTCAACACATATGGTCCTGGAGAGGGCTTCTCTCTTATTGTGATAATTATTTGAAATGAATCCTATTAGGTTTCCATTTTATCCAATTCTTTTACAGTGTAAATTGAAGTATATACTTATAAACATTGAGCCTAAACTATTCATTGAACCAACACTGTAACATTATAATTTTTCTCCTGATTACTTAAAATTGCCCAAACTTAAAGTTTGAAACTGCTACTTTAGTGGACATTAAAGTGTCTGACGGATTCACTTGGGAAATTCCCTATATCTATGTTTTTCAGTTGTCCAGAAATAAATAGTAGGCTAATCACAATGGGACTCAATGATTTTCTTAACTCAGGAAATTGGTCTCCAGACTCTTGGTTCTCTGGGGATCCAGACAGAAACATAAACACCTGTTTTTTATACAGGCTAATATCTGGTTCAGAATAAACCTTGTTTTGTCAATTTAAACAGTAGAAAACTAACTTTTCTTAATTTTAACAACTCCTACACATAACAGCATCTAGTCTACACAAAACTGCTGTGATAACACTTTCAATTGTCACTTTCTTAATCCTTGTAGTGACTCATCACAACCAGAAAGTGGCTCCTATGCCATCTAAACTGCAACTGTTTAAGAGCTTAGTAAAATTTGACCCACTTAAGATCTGGTTCTGTGTATAAAAAATCAGGGCTATTAAAACACTAAACAGAAACATTTCATTATTAATGGTATTAACACTGTTGTTCATTTAAATGGTCCATCAGCACATCTGGTAGAAGTTGTTTTAAAAATGTATTTAAAATACAGTTCTGAAAATATCATGATCTTTGCTTCATGTGGATTCTTAATTATGTGCAGAATAACTAATTCCCAGACTAAAAGTGGAAACTTGTCTCAACCATTATCTAGCCTCTTTACATATAAAAGCTGCTCTCAAAACAAATGGCTACTCAGAATTTAATAAAATGAAGTGGTTGTTTAAAATATCACCCTTTAATTGACTAGTGTCATCAGTTTTCATTGTTGCTATGTGCAATATGTTTAAAGCTGTGATCTTGCAGCCACTTACTTACCCAAAACTTTAGGCACATGAGTAATCTCATGGAAATCAGTAATTGGGTTACTCGTGCTTAAAGTTAAACAGGCACACACATAAATGTTTTCAGGAATGTGGCCTTGGAGAATATATTAAAACATTAATTTGATGAAAAATGCTGGTAAAAATATGACTAAATATATGTTCATACAGCCTCTTACTTGTCTTATTTTAAATTTGATAGGAAAAGCTTGGATCCAGCCCTTTGCTTTTAATGAAAGTTACACTGACTTTTCCTGTTAAGTTTACATTATTAAAAATAACACTTTTGGGGCAGTAAACAATGTAAACCTTAGCATTAACTTGGAAGGTTCTTCTTCTTTCACATAGTTTTTTTGGACTAGAGTAAAGCATATATTGCTCCTTGTAGGAGAAACAGCAGGATTTTTCCATTCATTCCCTTACAGTAGTTGATTGGTTAACAGGCGGGAGGGTAGATTTGCGTGACACATACAGGCTTTTAGTTGGGACCAGGAATTAAGTTTTCTCTTGCAATATATTATCTCTACAGAGACTTGAAAACTGGAGTTATTGCTTGTGTTCAGACTGGAGGATAGTGGTTTCCTGTGGATTGTTGCACATCTTGTTTAGCTGGGATTGCTGTAACATCTTAGTTGGGTACTCTGAATAGTATTAGTATTTAATTGTGGTTTTGCTAATTTATTGGGAATTTTTTTGCCCTTGACCCCTTTTCTCCAAGATTTAGAGTGGGTTTGAGAGCAGTTGGGGCTAAAAAACAGCAGGGTAAATGGGTATAGACAGGTTGTAGAATCTGGCTGCGATACAAAATGCATGCTTCCATCAAGGCCGATTTCCCTGGATGAAGGTTACATCTAAGGAACTGCAACTTGCCTCATTTCAGACTGGGGTAGTCTTTTGTAGGTTGTGGGGCTTTTGCAATAGTTAAGAATAATCACAAGTACTAAATTGGATTACTTAATTCTTTGCCCCAAATTTAAGTTGTTAAAACTGCAGCAAGAGATGTAAGATGCAAATAAAGTCCACATCTGTATGTTTCTTGGGGCCTGATGAGTGGCAGCAGCAGTCTTACCTTAGTGTGCTACTGTTCCCGTTGTTATATAAAATGGGCAGTCTGACAGCGTTAACATTGCGGATGGAAACTTCACTTTGCTTTTCCTGAATTTTTTTTTAAATTTGGTTTTAAATGTGTAACCTTAATGTACCTTTAATGTATGCTTTACATTTTAATATGATCATTTATCAGGATTTACTAATAATGTGCTTTTGCAATATAGGGTAATGGAGCTGGAGCACTTGGCACCTTAAGGCAGCCCCTGGAGTTCTACACTGCAGACTGGTGCTGCCCTCATCTTTCATATGTAGCTATATATAGATTGCTTGGAGTTAGGGACTCAGTCAAACAATGTCTTCAATGGAAGGTGTGGGTACTTAGCACCTCACGGAAGGGAGAGCTCTTGGTGAATTATATATTTGGAATATGTGGTAATCATCATTCTGATTATTTTTCTTTGCAATTTTAAAATATTTGTTGGATCATGTTATCTTCCGTTCTTATCTTGTTTTCAACATTAAGAAGACACAATCACTTTTAAAAACCAAATTCATGTGGATTTGTATACATCAGTGTTACCATAGAGGCAGGAAATCATCACAGGCTCTAGCCAGATGCCCAGTGTACTAACACATGATATATCTTGCATATGCGTTTGCTGCTACAGACATTCACATTGTATTTTTTCATCAGGTATTTTGAATGAAACTGGAGTCAGCTCAGGCTATTTGGCAACAGAAATGATTCGTTCCCAGGCCATGACGGTTAGTTTACATGCTACAAATAGCATTTTGATGGAATAGTTTGCACTGCAATAACACCTAAGGCACTTGTAGTCCAAATGTTACACTGTTCTCTGTCTATTTATCTGCTATTCAAACTGCTATCAAAAATAGATGCAAATCTGAATGGTTCACATCTCCACCATTTATATAGGCACATGTTCACACTTCACTCAGCATACTTAGGAACTGGCTTTTAGTTTTTTCTCTACCCTCTAGCCCACAAAAGGTTCTTCCTTTCTCTAAATGAGACAGGAATTTTTTAGTTTGTAAGGAAAATGTTTTAAAATAAAACTGCTCTCCCTCCAAAAAGAGTGTACTGGTGTACTATAAGATTAAAGATAAGAGGCCTAATACATAAGTGGAGATACACCGCACAAGAATTTGGCCCAATAGTTGTACTAGCAAGATTTGAGAACCTTTTCTTAAGTCAATATTATCAAATAAGATATTTATATGCTCCGTAAATTCCATAAACCCCCATTCAAATTTCCAGGCAAGTCTATTAGGTTGGTTTACAATTGGAAATTTGAACCATTGCTGAAAATGATTTTCTCATGGGGTCTCTCTGACAAAGAGGTGAATGGGTTTAAGGGCTAGCATAGGCTCTCAGCACACTGAAACAGTATTGAAAATCATCATTTTCAGTCTACACCAGAGTTCCCCTAAAGTGTGTAACCACACACCCTGTTGTCAAGTAATGCATGCAGCAGGTTGCCAGGTGTGCGTCTCTCAGCCACTAACTGTGTCAACAGTGTGTGTGTATGTGTATAAATCTGATTAATCTTATCCATGCATTAGTTAGAAAATTCCTCCTAGTGTGAAAATTCTGACAAAAGGCAATTAGGATTCACAGGGATGTCATCACCCTAAATGATTTCAAGTTCAAATTTGGATAAATACATGTACAAAATACAGCCATACTGGGGCATAAGTAGCCATTTGTATGTACAATTACCCAAATTGTACGCTTAGTCCCCCAACTCAGCAAAGAACTTACGCATGTAATTAAGTCCATCCCTCTTCAACTTAAATAAGCACATGTTTAAGTACATACAAAAATCTAAGTGCACAATTGTCTGTGGACCTCAAGACTCCCATTATGAAAACAGGACCCCATAAGGCAGATATTCAATCCGCCACTCTTTGGTTTCAATTTGGGGGAACTCTCCTGGTTAATTTATCTTCCATGAATGCAACACAGACAGTGTACTATTTTTTTTTAATGCTACTAGATGAACAAGAGAGTTCCAGTGACATCTGTTCCCTATCTTATGTGTAGATGTACATGCTTTTAAGAAGTTATGGGGGGAAAACTACATATGATGCCTTTTGCTGCATCAGTAAAGAAGTGTAAGAACAAATAGATGAAAAATAACAAAAATGTTTCTATATTTTAGCTATATATTACTCCTTGAATAAGGCATCGAAGTAACATTATTCTGAGTATTCGAGTGTAGGTGGTTAAGTGTGTACAAAGACATTTCAATCATTGCTGCTGTCATGACCGATACCCAAGATTCCCCATCAAGGGCATACTCTTGTTCCCATTGATGGCAACAGCAAAACTCCCACTGACTTCCATAGAAGCAGGATTATAGTCCATGTTTAATCCTGTAATAATGGGAACCTTTTTCTACAGTGGCTGAAGGCACTACTGTGATGTTAACTTTCTTTGTTATTTTGTTAAGGTATTTAAATTTACAAAAAATGGTGAAACAAAAAAGCAAACCAAAAAATAACCCATCATCACACTTCTCTGTATCCAAACATGATTATACAGTTCTTCTTTGTAACTAAGCCCTCCATCTCATTTAACAAGTTACCTTCAGAAAAAAATTGCTCCACACCAGCATTGTCTTTATAGTGCTACTGAGATTTTAAATAGAAGGTTCCTCATTAGCAGCAGCCACTGCTGCCAGCCCCCAGGAGTGTGCTACTTACTCTAACTGCAGTATTCATTTGTTAAATCATAACATGGTACTGCTTTATCTTGAATGTCTGCCAAGTAGTACTACAAGGCAGTAAGAACAGGAATACAGAAAATGACAAATGGATTCATGATGATACTGGAAAGGATACATCTAATTCACTCTGGAAGAAAAAAGATAGGTGGGTATTAGTTTTAGTCAGATGATAATGTGAATTATCATTCACCTCCTGGTCATTAAGCATTACATACCACTTCTCCTTTGGATGAAAAAGGAAAGGCCTGTCAGAGCACAGATATAAACTTCCAGGACAGCTTGATTTCCTGTGGTGGTTTGTGCAGGTCCATGCTCAGTTATATCATGCTCATTAATGTGGGATCTGAGTGCTTGTGATGTATTATCCTAGCCTCCATGACAAGTTAAGATTCTTCAGAATTTAATTTTATTGAAAAATTAAACTTCAAAGAATTATGGTTGCCAAGCAATAAAACTTTCTGAACATATGACACTATGCAGTGCTGTCTTACTGAGTCTTAAGAAAGACAGCCTGAGACAATAACTGAGCGTAGGGTTGTGGATGCAGCTGTGCTCCTGAGTCCCAGCAAAATGCTCTGTTCCAAGCATGGAGCTCTGCTGTGTCATCTGTTCCCTCCTTGTTTTCTCAGTGATTAAAATTCTGCCATAGAAGGGTGGAACTTCCCGGAAGAGAGATGAAGTTGCCACTGGGCTTCCTTATCCCTGGTTCAGGGTCCAATATTCTACCCTTGATTTTTATGCAAAAGTCCACTGACATAGTGAAAGGGTTGCTGTGGATTGAGGATATCATATGGCAGAAACTTATAGCTCTGGTTTATGGACCCTAAAGAAAACCATAATTCAGCCCACTCCACTGAACGAGTTCAACATCCCCATTTAAAAAGTTTTTGTATATCACAAAAATCAAACTTCGGGTGACTGATCAATTCAGTTTATACTTAAGATTTTTTTTTTAAAAAAAGGTCACTGGGCACCAAGAGACACAGATTCCAAACAGTGCGCCTGGATATATTTGTGTAGCTACCATCAAAATCAAGGGGAGTCCCAGAGTCAAATCCCATAGGTAGCTTTGAAAACCTGTTCCTGATTCTGTGAATGTTTTCTCTGGTACAGAAGCATAAGGTCTGATAGCTAAATTTAAGAATGGAAATTCCATGAGATAAAAATAGCACATGCAAGAATGTTTAAAACTCGCAAACCTAAAAATATAAAGATGACAAAATGTCCCTCTAGAGCAAGACAGATGTTCTTTTCTTTCCCACTGCTTTTTTCTTTGTTTTTCTCTTTGTGTTGTCATCATCAGAAATTAGAGTGCTGCTAGAATTATGTAAACAACGAGGAGTCTGTTGGCACCTTAAAGACTAACAGATTTATTTGGGCATAAGCTTTCGTGGGTAAAAAACCCACTTCTTCAGATCTAGAATTGGGTTTTTTACCCATGAAAGCTTATGGATGAAGTGGGGTTTTTACCCACGAAAGCTTATGCCCAAATAAATGTGTTAGTCTTTAAGGTGCTACTGGACTCGTCATTGTTTTTGTGGATACAGACTAACACAGCTACCCCTCTGATACTAGAATTATGTAAATACTCAACATTAATTTAGTACAGATTTATTCCCTTGGCTCTGTGGTTTCCACCAGAACCTCTGTCTGGAATTATAGGCCTCTTATTCAGTGGCCTGCTATTTATTCTATGTGTTATGTTATTAAAAAAAGAACTATGGTATGTGATTTCTCTAACCCACCCCTCTTTTTAGTTCTCCAAGTTTTAAAGCCCAACTGCTTTGAATAATGCAGGTTCTGTAGCATGATGCAAGCAGTAAATTGCTAATAATTATCAGCTTTTAGCCTATATACACGTACAAGAAATGGATGTGCAGCATCTGTTAAAGTTGGTAGATTCACAAGGTACTAGAGTATATTTGTGCTAAGGCAGACAGACTTTTACTATGTTAATACTGCCTCTACTTTCAGTCACAGCTGAAACCATTAAAACTTAGGAAAAAGCTGGCAGCAGCCTTAGAGCAATTAGACAAAGAAAATGCTAGTAAATTCTGCTACACATGAGAAATCAAATTCCACTCCTGGTACGAGTGCTAAGGTTGTGACTGCAATTATAGCAATTGTAGGAATGAGTTTCCAACCTCAATGCATTAGAGAACTGGGGCACACTGTAGTGGCCAATCTTCTATTAGCCTGAGCATGGTTAGTTGGGAATTTTACTCCTAACACCATTTGACCCATATTGTAAAGGTGATAGATTCAGGCAAGGTTATCTTATGAGTCAACAAATTTATACATGGAGTAGCTTTAAGATCAGCTCTCCCGGCCTAAGTCTGCTGTAGAAAATGTGTGCATTATTATTGGGAAATCAAAGTTATAAACCTGATCTTTAGTATGTACAGTTATCGATGGCACACCATGGAGTCGATGGACTCGAGAAGGAATTGCACCCACCCTTTTTTGCCAGAGGAAGGATAACTTTTAGGGTATGTCTACAATAAAAAAAAAAATAATAATAACCTGTGTTAGCAGGTTAAAATAGCAGTGAAGACAAGGCAACTCAGCTTTTAACTCTATTTAGAAGCTCAAGTTCAAATCTATATGGCAGGCTGAACGTGAGCTTCAAAGCTGAGTTGCCATGTCTTTACTACCCTTAGCTAATCCATATTAAGAACACTTTTTTCCAGTGTAGACACACCCTTACGCAGAGCCTTTGAGCCACTTATGCTGGGGAAAGGGTAGGATATCCAACCAAATTAAAAAACCATGTTGAAACTGTTAAAATACATCTTTATCTAAATTTGTTTCTAACATGATTTGTCCATCCTGTGTGGACAGGACCAGTGTCAGAACTATGTAAAACAACATGTATTTTAGGGTACGTCTTCACTTACCGGAGGGTCCGGCGGCAGGCAATCGATGTTCTGGGATCGATTTATCGCGTCTGGTTAAGACGCGATAAATCGATCCGGGATCGATCCCGGAAGTGCTCGCCGTCGACGCCGGTACTCCAGCTCGCTGAGAGGAGTACGCGGCATCGACGGGGGAGCCTTCCTGCCGCGTCTGGATCGCGGTAAGTTCGGACTAAGGTACTTCGAATTCAGCTACGTTATTAACGTAGCTGAATTTGCGTACCTTAGTACGAAGTGGGGGCTTAGTGGGGACCAGGCCTTAGTCTATGATCACAGTGGGTGGCCAAACTGGAACCACATCAGAACTTGATTCCTAGACTCTGACTGTATCTATGCAATACCTTTTCTCTTAAAAATTCCCACTGCTGCATTGCTACCAATGGTAGCAATAGTGGGAATGCCAGTATAGATTGGCAATTGGTGTTTCAATCAGTGCTTTGTCCAACCCTGCTCTGAGTGGGAGGGTACATTAGTGCTTTCTTCACTTTTAGCACCATTGGAGCTTATCTGTGGGTGGCAATTTTAAGCAAAATAAATCTAATATAGAAAAGACCAGTTTAAAAGCTAGTGTAGATGGGGCCATTCAGAGTGGGATGCATGTAGATTCCTGAAGGACCATTTGGTGGATAAACATACAAAAAGACTGTTTCCTAGCACAAATATTTTTGCATTCATTGTCTAATAGTTGATAAGCCATATATACTTATATTATTGTATGTTACAAAATAAAGAACTTTGAAAAACTTCCTGATACTGCCTTGTTACAGTTGTCACAGTCACACCAAAACTCTTGTTTGCATTTTTATAAACAAGGATTCCCACCCCCTCTTTCATTTATGTTGTCTCCGAACAATCTGTCCACAAAGGCTTTCAAAGAAAGGAAATGTTTTGCAATGGATTCTATGTCTCACTCACCACTCTGCTGAAATATCTGTCCAAAACCTCCACAAAATTATGAATTAGTTCATATACAGCCATCTCATTCTGAAATATAATTTGAAAGCAAGTGAAATATTAAATGAATGGATAGAAGATATGCTATTCGTTCACATTTTATTTCAACGTGAGATGCATGCTTCTTTGAAATCAATTAGAAAATAATTAGTGAGTAGCACAAATAAGTATGCAAGCTTTGGCTCTCTTAGTAGTACCTGTAGAAATGTACACAGACCATTATTATGTACTATATCAAAGCCGAACAACCTGCTTAAGGCGTACGCCAGTCCAACTCTGTGGCTGACCTAGAAGAAGTCATTACAGCAATGAGCAGCCACTATCCTCCTTGGCATGTGGCCATGACTATGTTACAAGCTTTTGTATTCATTTTAAAGACCCAGTACTGCTGAAACAGTATGAATACTAATGTAGAGTGGGCTCAGGCATTGTCAGCATAATGTCATAAAATACCGAAGTGTAGACTCTTACAATAAAAAACAGTGCTAAATGCTCAAATCTGGTGTACATTAGCAATGACACCATTGCTAACACTGGTGGAACTGTAAAATGGGTACTAAACTTAGCAGTGTAGCCAGCAAAAGATCTGAGCCATCTCTTTCTCCTTGCTATCCCACTCAACAGTAAAATATAAGTATTTCCATTACTTCCACTGTGCACAATCACGTTGGTCTTCTCTGCCCTGGGAAACTTTTGCTAAAATTTACTATTGTTGTTCACACTGATTCAGCTCAACCAGTGGGAGGGCCTGTTTACAAAAAGAACCATCAGCTGCTGGTGTTTTAAGCGCTATGACATATTGGCCTGCACTGAGCTGGGTTAGGTGACATATCACCTAGAGTTCTGTCTATAGTAGTGCTACTTGGGGGAAAATTTTAGCAAAATAATCCTTGTGTAGACACACTCATTGTGAGAGTTTATAGGCCTGGCTACCAGAACTTCCTTGAGACCAGATTCCACATCTTGAATTGGCCAAAATTGCTCACAAGTGGCAAATGACCCCTGCTTTCCCCCCCCCAAAAAAGAGCTTCCCTGAGGGCCTGCATGAGCGTCCTGAGACCCCTGTCACTCCTGATACTGAGGAGCTGCTACCGCTACCCGGGGTGGTATATCCCAGGGAGACGGAGGATGATCCGTGGATGCATGTACACCTGAGGCGGAGAGTAGGAAACAGCCCAGGGAAACTACTGTTAGAGCCCTGGGCTGGGATGTGGTGGAGTTGGGTGGGCCTGTATCCCCTCTGCCACCTCCTTAGGCCAGTAGGCCTGTGCTCCTTGGACATCCTTGCTAGAGCCCCTTAGATGGTGGTTGGGGCTCCAGCTCTGCCTGACTGCAGGCCAGAGCCCTGACTGTTTACTGTCCTGCCCTGCTTGAAGGCTGGGCGTATGAACAACTATACCTCTGCCTGACTCCAGGCCAGAGCCCTGATTGTTTACTGCCCCACCCGGCTTGAGGGCTAGCTTATAACTTAGTATTGCTCTGTCCTGACCGCTGGCCAGAGCCCAGACTGTTTGTAGAACCTTCCCGCTTAAAGGCCAGGGCCCATTGAGTACCGCTAATTCCCTCTAGCAGACCAGACTGCGAGGAGGAATGGCCTCCCTCAGAGGCGGACGCGGAGGGACGGCCATGACCGCCTATGGAGGCATATTTAAAGATTAATTTATATCCACATTTCTTACATTTTTCACAGATTAAATGTAATCTCTTACCTCTGTTTCATTGATTCCAACCACTATGAAAAGGGCTGCATATTGTCGGTACACCAGCTTAAAATCCTTATATTCAATGAAAGAGCACTAGATAAAAATGCAAATGGTTAAATATTAACTGCCACATTAGACATAATTGGTTACTATACACAATGTGCTTATTAAATATACTGTTGTGTACACACATAGGGCCCCGTCTCTCATTTACAGAAGTTTCATGAGTGTAACTTGTTCACTTTAATGAAGTCACTCCTGCCTTACAATGGTGTAAAGGAGAGAAGAATCAGCTCCACAAAGTACGAAGGGCTTCTCAGTCTTCACCCCACAATCTCCCTCTGGAGGTAAAGGAAATTAATAAAATATTAAATTATTAGATAGGGCTTTTCATCTGTGGATCTCAAAGCACTTTACATCAAGGAGAGTTTTATTCACACTTTACAGATGAAAAATCTGAGCCACACAGAGGTAAAATGATTTGCTCAAGATTACACAGCAGATCAGTTGGGCATCCCTCTTCTCTTCCCTTACTTCTCCAAACAGAAACATTTTAGAAGACGACAGGGAGAAAATCATTGTCAGGTAGAATATTATATCTATGATATTGATAGATAGATGATATTAGGGCAATGGGTTTCCATTTCTTGCTTTCTATCTCTAGACTTGTGGGGGAAAACAGAAAACATAAACATCTATTTCATAATCTATATTGTTATGGCATAAGTCACCAGATGGTGCTGTTACACACAGTGTCACAAGATCTTTTTTCTTCAAATGTGAGCACTGTTAAATCTTTTTTAAAAAATGCTATATTGTTGTTAGTTTTTGGATTATTTTAGGGGAGCTGTTGCAAACAGCCGCAGAGTTTGCTCTCAACCTTAATCTCTCTAATTGGAGTATATTATTGAGGCAAAATTCCTTCCTGGGAACTGGGCAATGGTGTCTTTGCTGAGATTCTGGAAAGAGGGGATTGCCTGTGTACTGTTAGGCCACTTCTGTTCTAGGACTGGTGTGCAGAGTGTAAAATAAACAAGTTGCAGTAAAAATATACCCACATTCCATGTAATTGATTTCTCCCCCAATGGGAAACTGACCTGCAAGAACCTGACATCTGTGCAGTATTGACAAATCTTGCCATTTTATTGAGTATTGAAATATTTGGTGTTTTTCTTAAAGCCCCAACTCCTGGAGCCATGTAATTACGTGAGTATCCCAGCTTTCATTAAAAAACATTAAAATATATGTTTATAATCCTTGTGGCTGCAGACGGAAGTCTGAAAATGTGAAACTCAAATGCTCAAAAACCAGAAGGGAAATAAGACCCAAAGTTCGTCTTCAAAATCATGAGATTTTAAAAAACAATCTTATGATTTTAAGAGTCTGACTCATGATTTTTGAATCCTTAGGCTAGCATTACTGCATCCACTACTGCTTGGCAGAACTGTGATAATTTCTATCTATTATATATAGGTCAATGTGCTAGGTCTGATGAAAATATCTAGGCAAGGGAGAAAAATATATTCCTCTTCTCCTTTGCCCTGGAATTTTCAGCCTCCCTAGGAAGATGTGGAATCCTCTGTCAGAAAACCAGGTTTCCAACCTGAAAAAAAATAGACTATGCAGTATACAAAAACCACTTACTTTTAGTCTCAGTATAGATACAAATAGAATAATGACATACAATGGATATGTATGGCTCTTCTGTTGTTAATTATTTACACGACTTTTTTTTGTCAGAAGAGAAGTTAGACAACTCCTAACACAGGAGAAATAAATAACTCTCTATTACTGTCTTAGAACTAATACACATGCCATCTTGTTCACTTTGGCACCAGCTGGGTGTCACTTATTTTCAATATTGTATATTATACCTAAAAACATGTGAGATGTTGCTTCTGAGGCAATAGAACATCAGTGGGAAAGGAAAATTCACAAACCCCAAACAGCCATATTCTGCCATCTTATGCACATTGAATAGTACTGTTCTATGCAATTAGTCCCAATAAAATCAACAATAACATTCTCCCAGACCATCAGGTGTAATAACTTTGCTCTTTCAACTCATCTTCCCTTAAAAGTTGAGGAATGAGAAGAGCACCCTAAAGTCAACACACTTGATCAAATACGGAAGTGAATTCCAGAGGTGAGTACCAGTCTCTGGAAAGGCACTGCCTGCAGCCCATTCCCAGTTTAACTAGGGGTGCTTGTAAGTCAAAGAACTTCAGCTGGTCTCAGTTAACTGCAATATCATATGATGAGAGACATGGACTGTGAGGTAACCAGGGCTAAATGAGTGAAATCTGAGCTCTACTGAAGTCAATGGCAAAACTCCCATTGCTTTAATAGGGCCAGGATTCCATCCAGGCTATTTAGTGCTTTACACATCAGAACTAACACCTTGACTTGCACCCAAAAACAATAGAGAGCCAGTGCAGGCTGCAGAGAACATGTGCAAGGATCTCCCTGAGAGAAGCACCACTGAGCTGAGCAGGCAGGCAGATTCTACACTAGTTGAAGTCTTTAAATGTTCTCCATGTGCAGTAGAATATAAAATGTATAGGAATAATCCAATACATAGCTAACAAAGGTACAAGTACCTGTGTCATTATCATGTATTGATACATGGTTGGGAATATTGGCTCATAAATGAGTTGATGAGCCCTCTAAACTTCATTTCATGTATCATATCCTTGTAGGGCATGTCTAGAATTCTCCAATATCTATGTAAAAAAAGGGACTTTTGTATCAGGTAAAATGGAAAATATTAAAAAAAAATCCCCAAAAGTCATTTAAGTTCTATAAGAAAACAATTGTGTTTTTACTAATCAGCTCTGGAGTTGGATAACTTGGAAACCATATACCAAATTAGGACAGAATTCCTTAGTAGTAATTCATCTAGAATATGGCACAAAGCCACACCATTATTTTAGCCATCTGACCTTGAGGAAGGCTGCATGGACAAAATATCGGCAATTTAGGAACACAGAGCAATGTTAGCATTAAAGAGAAGTGCAAGTTTTGTTTCTATTAGTTAGCAACAGCATGCATATGTCAATTTCTATAGTATGTTTGGGGAAAAAATGGATTTTCTTGAGAGAACCTGATTCTTGCACTACATTTATAATAAACCAACTATAGAGAAAAAGAAAATAGATTTATATATGAATTTTCATGTCAAGAAGTACCTTGGCAGCAAAACCTAACACAAAACATTCTAATATTTCTTGAATGTAGTTCACTGTGTAATATTCTTTCCTTGGTTCCATTTCAAATAAAATGGCTAGCTCAGAAGAAAAAAAAACTTACTTGCTCTTTTGAACGGGAAAGGCAATTTTTGATTACTTCAGCTTCCAGCATTGTCCGCTTATGAATTTCCACATGTTCATAATACCTGGAGAGTCTTGTTTGACCTTGTTTGTTCACCATGAGAAAAAACTTTATCATTTTTCTGTTCGGCTCAGAAATAGTCTCTTTGTTACAGGAGGCAGGTAAGCAGGAACTGTATTTCTGAAGAAAACAACAAAAAAGATACATGGAATTATGAAACACTTTTGAAGAAGCATGTTGTTGGTGTTGAATTTTGTATTCACTGGGTCTGATGTCAGTGTACAACTGATGTAAGCAAGAAGAAAATCAAGCCCATTGTCTTTCCTAATACTGTTGGTGTTTTTAATTTGAACTCACTATTGTATGAAAGTGCTGACCAAGCAGAAGCCCAACCAAGATTCTTCTACTGTGCAATAACACCAATGATAGCAACCTAGATATTTTCAGATTCTTGCTGTAAGGGCAAGTATCATTTTAGTAGTAAGGAAGAGAATTCTAATGGGATAACATAACTTAGTGTGAGAATTAGTATGTTAATATCTGTGTTAAACCTGTGAGCATGGTGTAGAATTAGTCTGAGTTTAGTATTCATGCAGTTAACCGATATGCTGTGCCTTCTCTCCAACCAAATTTCCTTGTAAACGCTCAGTAAATATTACTTACTTCAGGGTATTCTCTCTTAAAAGCATTAACCATATACATAGGTGCTATCCTTTTTGTTCACAACACACCAGCAGAAATCAGGATATGAATGTTAAAGGATTTTAATTCTATTAGAAACAGTAAATGTAGGGCAGCATTTTCCTCTCCAGTGTGTATAATGGGTTTCAAGGGTCGAATTCTGGCTAGTAATTGTGCCTATGTGTCTGCAGGAACAACCTTGGGTCACAGGAAAGCACAGAACAGATTGTTCTCCTGATCCTGGACTTCTCCAAACCTACAAAAATGTTACTCTATGATTGTAGATATCGAGTAGAGGGGTCTAAGTGACAGGGGTGTAGCCATCTTCCATCTCATTGGACTTGTGATCTGGTAGTGCAGTGCTTCCCGAACATTTTACGAAGACAACCTACCCAACTGCATTTTGTCTGTTTTTATGATTTGCCATTACATATATGCACCAGTCTGCCCCGACTATCACAATCCGGCCCTGGTCCTGGTGGGAGTGGTTGGAGAGCAAGTCTGCCCTGCACTCACCGCACAGTGGGGGCTCCTGTCCTGCACGGCTGGGCCCCGCTCCCTGCTCTAAGCATTGTGACTTGGTGCATGGGGTTGAAGTCCCATTCAGGTCAGGTCCGGCCACCCTCCATCATGAAAGAGGGGCAGCTGAACCAAACCTAAGTGAGTGGCATTGCGACATGATGCTGAGCCCCTGTGCCCCAGTTTGCAATGCCGGAATCGGGAGCTGGGCCCAGACCTGTGGGACAGCAGCCACCACTGCAGGGTGACCTTGCTTTAATAACCCTACTCCATCCTCTTTGCCCTCCCCTGCAAGGGCCTCAACTCTGCAATGAGCCAGGAGGAGTGTATGTTTGCAAAGGCCAGGGCCCAGAGATGGATTAATCTGGTCCTGGCCATTGCAATCCATCTAGAACCTTCCTGTTACCCACTGCTGGGTTGGGACCCACACTACCATAGTGGTTCCCAAATGGTATCTTTTAAAGTGTGCACACATGAAGATTACTCTTGTGGATTAATCCACAGGAATGTTTGTGCAGTTGGCAGAGCATGTTCACATATTTACCTTACTTTTTAGTTTCAATATACATCTGTTGAAGTGGAAGTTTAGTGCTAGAAATTGGCCCCATATACACCGTGCAAATGTCTAAAGCAGGGGTCGGCAACGTTTGGCATGCGGCTCGCCAGGGTAAGCACCCTAGCGGGTCGGGCCAGTTTATTTACCTGCTGACGCGGCAGGTTCGGCCGATCGCATGGAGCTAGCATGAGTCTGTCTACATGGGCTAGGAGGCACACTCCCAGCTGTAGTATAGATATACCGTTAGGCTCTTGATGAGATGTCTGTGGACCTTAGACGGCCAAAGTTTGGGTTAACAAACTTGGGTTCAATAAATGTTAACACAAAATGCCACTGAAATGCAGTTTGGAGCATAGTATATATTCTACACACAATATCTAATGAAAAATTCTATTAAAAGAGGGTTGAATATATATGCAAAAGCTGCCTTTTAAACGTAAAGAACTGCCATCTTATATAGTTCAAAGAAAATACAAAAAGCTTTTCCAAATTGCAGACTAACAGCCTGCAAAATATAATTTTTAAAAATGAACGGGTTTTAAGTTAGAACTTTTTTTTTTAAATACCAGAAGCCAGCCGCAGTAATGTTTTCCATCTGTCTTTCTCTGGCTGTTTGGACTTACTGGCCTGTATGCTCCTGTGGTTCGTGTGTTAAAAATGCAGCAACTTGCTGCAAAAGCTGTCTCAAAATTCTAACCCACAAGTCATGCTGCCTACCTGGTGCTTTACTAAGCTGTAACATCAAAGAAATGGTTCCATAAGAGCTGCAAATTCCAGCAAGGAGGTATGGCCTAAGAAAATGTGAGAGAAGTCAGGGCAAAACCCCAATACAATATATACTACCCTGGAAAAACAATGTACATTAATACAGAAAGTTGAAAGGGAAGCAATTCAGAAAACAGAATAAATCAGAACAACTCTAAGCAGCATTAACATGTTGTTAACAAACATCCGCACAATACAACCTTTTCAATAGATACTGTATATACTTGTTCATTAGCCCGTTCGTTTATAAGTCGACCCCCCAAGATGGATAGGTAAAAACAGTAAAAACTGTATAACCCTTTCATAAGCTGACTCTATATTTCAGGGGTTGGCAAACTTTGGCTCCCGGCCCATCAGGGTAAGCCACGAGCGGGCCTGGACGTTTTGTTTACCTGGAGCGTTCGCAGGCACAGAGCCCCTCAGCTCAAAGTTGCTGCGGTTTGCCGTTCCCAGCCAATGGGAGCTGTAGGATGCAGCGCGAGCCGAGGGACATGCTGCCCACCACTTTCCGCAGCTCCCATTAGCTGGGAACGGCGAACCACGGCCACTGGGAGCTGAGGTGCTCCGTGCCTGCGAACGCTCCAGGTAAACAAAACGACAATGTATTAGATATTCAATTCAATAATTCCATAGAGTTTAAAATGATAAGCTGACCCCCGCTCTTTGATGCTTCACTTTTTTACCAAAAAAATTTGTGAGGCAGAGTGGCCTCCCACTGAGCTTGAAGGGGGAGGAGTCACTCTGTGATCCCTGGTGGGTGAAGCCAGGCCGGTATTTCAGCATACTTTGACCATTTGCAAATGCTGAAGATGAGTGGGTGCTATCTCAGACGGCAAAGAACGTGGAAACAATTAGCTGAACACTTCCATTCATTGTAGCCACTCCCGCAGATGCTGCCATATGTGTAATAGTGCAGGGCTCTCCATTTTCTCGAATATTTCATCCCCATTTTTTGCATCTCTTCAGTAGGTGTTTCTGGCAATAAACATTTTTTTCTTCATGACTAGATAGCATTTTATGTATTAACCTATTCAGCTATTTTTGTAGTACATTTTTGTGAATCTCAGCCCTTTCTGAACCTTTTTACTACATAGGGGAGCATAAAGCCCACAGAAATTAAACATGGAACTAGGTTCTTAGATTGAGTTCTCTAGAGCAAAGACCGTCTATGTTGCTTGCACAATGGGGCCTTGATTGGTTCTTTAGGTGCTGCACTAGAAATAATAATAATCTTGTTCATGCTGCTACCAATGCAAGATTGTTCCCGATAGTATAGAGTTTTTCTTTTTGTCCAGTCCTGTTTTAAGTTTCAAGTGCCAGTACTCACAACCTTACTTTCATTTGAACAGTATTCCACAGTCTAATAGAACTTATAATACACACAATAGATCAAATAAAATTAAGTTGATGGTTACCACCAGCTTTTTGATCACATATTTTAAGAACGGGCTTCTTGATTAAACATTTGCTTGCCAAATTCGAGCCAAGAGGGGAGTATCAACACATACAGGTTCCAGGCCTCTGAAAGACATAGGCTGAGATTCTGTGCTGTGCCTCCCACTCCTGATGTCAGGAATTGCAAGGGGGCCTACAAAGGACCACGTAGTGAGGCAGAGTGGCCTCCCACTGAGCTTGAAGGGGGAGGAGTCACTCTGTGATCCCTGGTGGGTGAAGCCAGGCCGGGCTTGCCCCTCCCACCAGAAGCCAATGGGTGGGACAGGAAGTATAAAAGGCTGAGTCTCTAACCTCTAACCCAGTTCAGTCTGAGCAGTCTGAGCCAGGGAAAGGAGCAGATGTCTCCAGGCTGCTGCAGCTCCCCAGAGCTGAACCCGTGCTGCATCACTCCCTGGCCCTGGAGGAGACTGACCCAAGTGAAGAGCTACCAAGACTACTGCTTGCCGCATATCCCAAGAAGATGGAGAATGCCTGTAGAGTGCAGGTACCCAGCAAGAGGATCGTAGGAAGTAGCCCAGGGAAACTAGACTTTTTAGTCTGGTTGGGTTGTTGCCTGAATCTACGTCAGCGTGTTTTGGTTGGCTCCCTGCTGACCCACTGGTGGAACACTCTGCCACTATTAGGGCCCTTGGGGTGACAGCCTGTGTCTGTTGGCCGCCCTGCCTGAGGGCCTGAGCCTAAAAAGTGTTTGGTCCTGCTCTGCCTAAGAGCCTAATCCCTGATGGTGGTGGCGCTCCAGAGGGTAATGAGGCAGAGTGGCCTCCCACTGAGCTGGAGGGGGAAGGACCATCACTAACTCACTACAGGCCACTTACATCTGACCTCCACGTTGCCTGCACCAGGAGGGAGAAACTCTACCCTAGATGGCTAAGGGGCTTTTACAGGTCCTGTTTGCCATTGCAGAGGCAAACTCTGTAGCCAGACAGTATCTTCCACAGAGTATAACTGAAATGCTGATTGAGCCATGCCTACAACACTACTGCTGGGTGTCTATTATTTTTCAGATTACACCAGAAATTCCCTGGAATACAATATTTGAATTTACCCTGAGATACATCAGTTATTCTGATGAGGCCTCAGCAGGAACCTCTGTCAGTCTTAGAAACAATACTGATTACAAGTTTAGGTACTGGTTCTGCAACCATTACTCACTCTGAGTAGTGCTCACTTGTGAATAATCCCATTTAAATCTATGACTACATGCATAGTGCTACTCATTGTGAGTAATGATTGCAAAACTGGATCATGATTTCAGTACTTTGATATTGACTGAGACCATATGACAATCACCATCCTTATCCTTGTTAAGCCAAAATAAAAATGGCAAATGGCTATAGTCCACAGAAAAGGACAATGTTACTGGTACTGTGAATTTATCAATATACATAGTACTTTATATGTTTCCCATCATCATAGTATCTAACTACCCCTCAAACATTAATTAGTTCATCACATCCTTGTGTAAAGTATTAACTCCTTTTTATAGACCGGGAGCTGAATCCAGACAGATTAAGTAATTTGCCCCAAATCACAGGATTCTGTGGTAAAGTTTGGAATTGAAGCCCGCTTCCCAGCCCACTGCCTTGACCACTGACATTTACATTTAATGCAAGCAATATTCTGCATGTGAAATAATGACAGGGAGAAAGGGAGATTAGAATTTTTTTATGATGATTAAATTGTTCTCAGTGAAGGAATGGGTGGTTTTCGCACTGATGGATGGGTGTATTTTTATGTCCTTGGTCTTCTCACTCACTGTTAGGAAAGAAAGTCTCTATCTAGCCAGTTCAGCACATCTTAGCACATAAAGAGATTAGTCACAATAATAGCTAAACATATTAAATAAATTTAAAGCAAACGGTATTAAACATGTGTACACCACATATGCAATAACTCAGACTTTACCTATGATGATATATGTAACCTAATTATTTCTTGACAGCAAAGCCACTTATAAGTATTAAGGTCACCCATATCTCAGGAAGGTAATTTCATTATCCTCAGTGTAGTCTGAGTATTCCTTAGACATTGCAGTTTAGGTTTTGATATGAAATTTATCTTCACTAGTTAGTTGGGGGATGATGTCATAAAATCTGGAGCAAGAAGTCATCCTCTAAGAAGTGAAGATTAATGATCTATTTACAGCTAAGTAAATATATATGCAATATTTATAACCTCAGAAGTATGCATTTGCCAATCACAAGGTTGATATACAAAGTATTGAAATAAATAGTTGAAGGAGTTGAAAGGATTTAAAAATATTAATTTCAATGTTGCCCATCATCAGACAAACATTTTAATTATTATAAGATGCACTGGGGCATTTCTAATCTTTAAAATAGCACCATGTGACCTAAATAGTTTTTTAAATAGATACTGGAAAAATCATGTAACAAAAACCATAGAAGTCAGGAAATTAGACTTGTGCACATGCACAAATGCAATGTACATTCAACAAATCAACTGGCCAACACAGCTTGACCTATTTCAGAAAAGTATCCAGGGCAGAGTTACATCACTTCAAAAAAAGAAAAGACAACAACAAATGTTTAATGACTAAATTCTTGAGCAAGAGCTGTATAAATATTGTCCTTGGATAGAACTATCACCTTAATTGAGAAATAATACCTGAGACCACAGGCTTCACAATCTCACTACCTTTAATATCCCCTGAGCAATACACAGCCATAGCATCCCAAACCAGATAACTTTACACTGGAGTACGGGGGGAAGGGGAATATGCAGGAGCATGTCATTTCACTCTACCCCAATTGAAACGGCTGTGAGTTCCACCAATTAAACTTGTGGATGTCTCCCAGATATTGCAAATTTCAAGGGATTCATGTGGTGTCCTCCTGCCTTGCACTGCCTCCCACATTTCCTTATCTCTCCTGGACAGCATGGCTCTTACAGTAGCTATGCTGCAAAGCTCTCCCCTAATTGGCAGTGACGTGTGGAATACCCTGAATGAAAAAGAAGTCAATAGGGTAGAGGAAGCAGTGTAAATTACTGCAGGATTTCATTGCTGGTGATGACAAACTGGTGAAAACCTACCAATCTTTCCATCTCTTCTAAACACTGCAGAGCCTGTTTATGTTGGGTGGCAGGCCTCTTTTGTTGACCCACCCTGTTAGAATCCTAAATAAAGCATCTGAAGTTCAGTGCTAAATGACTGTGACAGATACAGCTTCTCAACTCCACCTGGCCTTGTAGGAATGATCTCTTTGAGCAAAAGGAATTAGGACATAGGAAGGCCTAGATGGATACCTTAGGGACATCCAAGCCAAGGGAGGAAGCGTAAGTTAAAGTTTGTTTTTCGTTTTCTGAGTTTTCTTGAGTTACCTACAAAGCAATATAAAACACGCATGTGCAGATACAGGTATATAAAGTGTGGATCCTATTGCAGGCGGGCCTTAGTCCTAACGGTGCCTTCATTAATCTAACTTCTTATATAGATAATCCTTGAGTCAAGAGGCAGATCTTAAAGATACTGTATCTTTATATGGCTAAAATATTGTTTTTTAATGTCTTGGATTATTTTACATGTGAAATGTTTTGGATCATATAAATC